GATGTCATCACGGCGCGTTGGGGGGAGGGAACGAGGCGGCGGGGAGGAGCAGGGGGGGAGGGAGGGAGGAGGGGGGGTGAAGGGGGGGGGGGGGGGGGAGCCTTTCCGCCCGTCGAGCGGATGTAGGAGCCGGAGGCGCGCACGTGGGAGATGGAGAGGCCAATGCCGCCCGCGGAGCGCGAGATGAGGGCGCAATCCGAGAGGGTCTGGAAGATGCCCTCGACCGAGTCGTCGCGCGTGGTGAGGAGGAAGCAGGAGCAGAGCTGCCCCCGAGGGCAGCCCGCGTTGAACAGGGTGGGCGTCGCGTGCGTGTAGAGACCGCGCGACATATAGTCGTAGGCCGCAAGCACACCCTCCACGTCCTCGCCGTGCACCGCCAAGGCGACGCGCATCAGCATGTGCTGCGGCCGCTCCTGCGGCGCGTGCGCGAGGGGCGCTGCTGAGCCAGCAGGAAGAAGGGGGGCCGGAGGCAGGAGGAGGCAGCGGCAGGCAGGAGGCAGCGGCAGAGGGAGTCTGGAGACCAGCGGGGCAAAGGGAGGCGGTGCTCCTGCGGCGTCCCCGCCGGGGTGAGGCCGAGGAGGTAGGAGCGGACGAGCGTGCGGAGGCCAAAGTAGTCGTACCCAAAGTCGCGCTCGTACCGCATCGCGCCCTCGAGCCGCGGCGCCAGCTTCCTCGCCAGCTCTGCAAACTCTTGCTTCACGAGCGGCGCGGGAGTGCCCTTGCGCGGGTGGCGATAGTTGGCCAGAGCCTCCATGGTGTCGGCAAAGGAGTCGCTAGTGTGGTTGTGTATCCGCTTGACGGTCACGCGCGCCGCAAGCTTCGAGTAGTCCGGGTGGTGCGACGTCAGGTACGCCGCCGTCTCGGCAGCGAGCTGGTCAACCTCCGCATCCGTCGCAGTCGCTGTCAGCCCGTCAACCACTCGCGCCGCCAAGTCAGCGGCGGCGGCCGCGATGCTCGGATCGAGGCCGGCGGAGAGTCCAGTGTAGCGAGCCGTGAGCTCCTCCTGAAGCGACCTGCGATCTGGCTCACCGCTATCACCGCCAGCTGCGAGCGCCACCGCCGCGCAGCCGCTGCCGCCACTGAGCCCGCCAATGGCTCCGTCAGCAGTCCCACCGCGAAGCCGAAGAGCCGGACGGAGCTCGGGCCCTGGCCCGCGCAACAGGGCGCCCGCGGCGGCGAGAACGACACAAGCCATGTATATCTGGAGCACGCGGCCGGGGCCGTGCAGAGGCACGAGTGACCGAGATTTTTTATTGGGGACTGAGCATGCTCGATTCCCCATGGTACGGGACCCCATGAACTCCGTGCACGTGGCTCTTACGTACATTCCCAGGAGGAGGACTGCTGAGAGGAGTCGAAGGGTTTCTCGGGGTGAGTGCACCACTATGCACTAACCGCCTCTGCAAGATTTTTCAGTGTCGACTTCTACTTGAGAGCACACCCCCCGGCCTCTCCCTTTTCTCTCAGTGTACGTACTTTTAGCTTACTGGGAGAAAAGGGAGACACACACTCTCTCTCTCTCTCAGTGTATGAGGCTCTTGCGTACCCATTCCACATTTCCTCATGGTCGTCATTGACATTCCCGTAGGAGGACTCTGCTGACTGGGTTTGCGATGAGGAGCGACCCGAAGGGTTTCTCCGAGCTACGACGACGCTGCGGAGGCCTCGCAAAAAGAGAAAATCCACCGCTCCAAGTGCTCCAAGCACACAGACACACTCAGTAAAGGGGGCGGTCGCTGTAGACTCGGGCGGGCGTCCCGCGTACAGCGGCGGCGGTTGCCTCGGCCGCGACCCGTTCGCGCGCCTCTGGCTCCAAGTCGGCAACGGCGAGGGACACATAGGCGGGCACAGCTGCGGTCGCGAGCGGAGTCAGCCCGCCGACCGAACCGAGAACCGTCGCTGAGGCGGCGAGCGGCAGCAGCTGCGGCGCCGTCCGCCATAGGTGCGGCGCCAGCACGGCACGGATGACTGCCGTGGGCACGAGCAGAGCACACGCCGGGACAAGCACCGCCTGGAGCAGCGCCGCTCGCTCCACCGTCGCCCGCGCGGCCGCCGTCGAGGAGACGCCTACGGGAGGCTTCCGGGAAGGTTCAGAGAGTGTGCGACGGGAGAGGCCTGCGGCCGCCTCGCAGCCCCGCATGAGTGGGTGGGTGGGTGGGGGAGAGGCACCATGGTGGGAGCGGCGCGGCGCGCGCGAGCAGGCGGCGGGCACCCGGAATGGCGACGCCAGACTCGTCCAGGAGCGGCACGCCCCGCTCGAGCATCGGCCTGCGCACGGGTCCGCTCGGAGCGCCTCTCGGAGCGCCTCTCTGGGGGCGCCTCTCGGAGGCGTCTCTCGGGAGCGCCAGCTGTTGATCCACGTCGACAGCCCGCCGGCGAAGCAGAGCGCCAGGTGCGGCGCGGCGAGCGTGAGCCGCCTCGGCAACCGAGAGTGAAGCGCGCCCAGCCCGATGGCGCAAGCGCTCGCCGTCGAGACAGCGTAGGCGGCCGTCATCTGCCTCGGGTCGAGGTCTCGCGACGTGTCAGCGTAGTTGCAGTAGCGCACCGCCGCCGAATGCGACTGGTAGAACCAGTGCCAAAAGAGGGTGCCGGCCGCGGAGCCAGAGGAGGAGATCCCAATGGCGGCGATGGTCGTCACAGGCACGAAGGAGCAGATGCGGAAGGCCGACGGCACAGGCTGCTGGAGCACGGGGTGCACCGCCGCCTCAAAGGTGCACCGCGCAGCCTCCACCTCGGAGGCCTCCGCAAAGGAGGCGGCACGCGGGTCAGAGAGCAGCTTGGTCGCCGCGTGCGCCTTTGCATCCGAAACGAGCATGCCGGACGGGTTCCAGCGGCGCAAGAGCCGCCGCAGTCGCGCCGGGTAGGGCTCGAAGGGTGACGAGGCCATAGGGCTGGCTTGTGCTCCGACGCTCGGCTGTGACACTTCCGACGACTTGCTTCTTGTCGTGAGGCGGCAAGAATTCTTTTTTTTAGTCCGCGCCAGTCGCGCCCTTGTCGTGCCAGTGTGCTGTGAGAGAGGCTTGTATTTAAGAATTCTTTTTTGAGCTTAGCCTTCGATGTTATGAAACAAACGCAAGGCGGACATGGCATATCGCTCTCGGGCCCACAGAGACGCGGCATACACACACAGACAGGCAGTGCTCCTGTTTCGAGAATTTTACAACAAAACTCCCTCGCACAACACTGGGCACGGGACTGGCGCGCACTGGCACTAACACAGGTACACCACGGGAGCCGCCTAAGCGACTCCTGCGAGGGTGGCGAGGCACTTAGCTCCGTGCACCCGCCCACCCCCGCCACGCGCCTCGCCTGTCGCGTGAATCGTAAAAGAAAGAAAGAAAGAAAACACGCAACCCAAGGGAGGGATGGAAAAAGAATTCTTAAGATACAAGCCTCTCTCACAGCACACTGGCACGACAAGGGCGCAGACTGGCGCGGACTGGCACACACACAGGCTCACCACCGGAGCCGCCTAAGCGACTCCGTTAAGAACGGCAATGCACTCCGCACCATGCACAATGCCGCTCTCCCCGCACGCTAGCTCGTTCACCGTCTGCCACGCCACGGCGGTGTGGAGGACGACAGACAAGCGCTGCATCTGCAGCCCGTGCCAGTTCTTGGTGGTCCATGTGACCTCGTCCAGGTGCTGAGCGTGCGAAAGTTTGTTGCTCAGCTGGTTCGCCGCCTCCCTCAGGGTGCTGCGAACCTCCTTTCCAAAGCCTCCGAAAGCCTCAAAATCAAACAAACGTAGATCGCAATCCTGCTGCCGCGCAAAGGGGTAATCGCCAGGAAAAAGAAAGAAAGAAAACAGACACGCCAAACGAGGGATGGGACGAGGACAGGGTCCACACCTGGACCTGCACGAGCAGGATTTTGGAAGAACGATCAGGGGGACAGGTGGGGCTCTCCTGCTCCTGACAAGGGAGGGATGGAGTCCTGCGACCGCCCGCGTGTAAAATTCTTTTCGAGCTCCAACAGGCACAACGCCCCGGGGGGGGCCCACAATGGCGGCCATGGAGGTGGACGCGGAGGCTGGCACGCTACAACTGTACCAGCGGGACGTGAACTGCCTCTCCGACGACGACCGTACCACGCGGCGGCGTGCGCTGACGCGGCTGGCGGCGTCCGTCTCCACTTTGGCGTCGGACGAGGCCGCCGGCATGCAGACCCTCGCCGCCCTCTGGGAGCAATCGCTGCGCGCGCCGCTGCTCAAGCTGCTCGCCGATCCGGTGGAGAAGAACCGCGAGCTCGCGCTCGCACTCACTGCCGCGGTCCTCGAGGCGCTGCCGCAGCCGGTCATCCGCGCCTCGCTCGCCCACGTCGCGCCGGCCGCTGCAGCGCGCCTCTCGAGCTCGGCGGCGGCAGAGCCGACCGAGGAGCTGCGGCTCGAGCTGCTCAGACTGCTGGGCACCCTCGCGCGCCGCGCCGGCACGCCACTTTCCGTCTACCTTCCCGAGATTGCCGCTGCACTGCGCGCCGGCTTTGCCGACCCGTTTCCCGACGCAAAAAAGGCGGCGAGATTAGCGGAGATGAGGCGATGGCGTCCAGTTGAGCCGAGGGAGGAGAGGCAGTGGCCGAGATTGACCTCTTGCCGAGCTGCAGCGCGGTTCGGGGCCTCACAGCTAATGGAGAGGAGGAGGCCGATCGGACCGCAGTCGTTGAAGCGGGGCAAAGCGTTTGCCGCTCTCGCCGCCGCGTGCCCGTGAGGAGTTCATGCCGCGTCCTCCGCGACAGGCGGC